CCATGACTCAGAGTTTAATTACTTGGTTTAAAATTCTAACATTCCAAAGATGATGCCAAATTAATCTGCTGACAGCTTCACATTAGCAGGAATAACTACCTTAGAATCCCCACGGGATTCAAGAAGGTTGATATGGGTGGTATATATAACTCAGCCAGTACTGACCGTATCTTAACCAAGCAAAGCAGAATCGCATGTAATGTGGCTATTTGGGAGAGAGAAACAATTTTAGCGAGTTGTGGAGGAAAACTATGTTTAGCCATTTCTATAAAAAAAGAAAGGCCACCCACAAAAAAGATGTAAAATTGAGTGTTGGTGTCGGGGGAGAGGAAAAAGGCTAGAGGAGAAATAGAACAAGAGAATCAAAGGCAGACACTATCAGACTCTAATATTAGCCGAAGGACTTGTTTACATTTTGTTGCTAAGGAAAACCTGGAGCTTTGGAAAGTGAACCCAACCACTACACTATTGTGACAGCTGCTGCTTGGCTCTGGTATCCCTGCAGAGTTATCTGCCAACTGCTTGCCACTTGCCACTTCTGTCTGCCAGGCGAATCAGCCCCTTTGTGATCACGTGGAGATGTTGGTTTCCTAGTCCCCACAGCAATCCAAAGACTGGATGGGGGTTATCAGAATGCCATGAAGATAGAGACTGTTGTATTCTGAGCTGTGGATGAAGAAGGACTGGCCCCTGAATCAAAACCTTTATTCTGAATGAATAATGCTTAAATTCTAAGGAAGAAATACTGAGTTCCATGAGGAGAAAGCAGAGGCCTAAGTGATGGTCTCCACTGTGCCTCTGACTCAAAGTGTGATATTAAGCAAACTATTCTTTTAGGACCTCAGCATTGCTATTTGTAAAATAGGAAGCGTAACTCCTATTCCTTCCCGTCACGTACAGAGAATACATTTGAGCACACTTGAGCGTTTTCAGAAAGAAAACTCCCAAACCCAACAGAATGCCCTTCTCAAAAGTAATAAACTCTTTCAGAAGTTCTGCCCTGAGCTATGTATGCAAAATCACAAATTATCTAGGCTCCCATAAACCTTGAATCTTTGACTATTATATTTGCTCTTCAACGACCACAGCCATCTTCACAGATTTACATTCTCAGAGATTGTTATCCCTATTGTTAATTTTTTTTCAAGCCTCCCTACTCCCTCTGTCCCGTTATAACAATAATATTTTGTCAATCTGGAACTTTGGAAAATACAGAAAAAAATAAAATAAAATAAAAATTATCTGTAATCTCCCAGAAAAATCCAGTGTTAACATTTCCATGTTTATTACTATTTGGTATCATAATGTATTCTTTTGTATCTAGCTTTCACAACCTATCAGTAGTTAAACTGAGTAGAGAATTGTTACCACCAGGGTGTAAAGCTGAGAATGATCACTGGCCAATTGGTACACATGCACCCACTTATCCTCTCTTAGACTAAAACGTTCTCAGAAAAGGAGAGCCAGCTGTGCAATTTAAAGCTAAGGCCCACTCCCCAATCCAAGTGCTCTAATTATCCTGCAAATGGAGATTATTTTTAGAGATGACTTTCCACTGGTTAGATCTTGCTGTGGCCAATTTTAAAGCCCCATTTATCCCAATGCTCATTAATTGTTTCAAATTGGACCTGTGAACACAGGCTTCAGGCCTCCATCAAGGTTTCCCAGCAGGAGTCAAAATGCTTTCACAATGAGCTGATTACAGAGAAAGCTGCAGCTTCTAAGGCAAGAATTAGTACCCAGCACGTTCTTTCAGAAGGAAAATTTAGCTGTTTTCAAAACATCTGATTTTTTATCTTTCAGTTTATGTTTGTTTAGGGGGAGAAACTAAATGGCTTTAATTCTGTAAAAGCTTAAATGATATGTTTTATTTGATCAAGTCATTCCCATGCTGAAAATCCTTCAGTTGTATTCCACAGCTTTGAGAATATAAATTCAAGTTTCTTAGCATAGTGTAGACAAAAATCCACGATTTGGTTCCTGCCTACCTCTCTAGCTCCACAATTTCCAAAGTTTATCCAGTGGAATACCAGTCTTGGTTTTCTGTGGGAAGAAAAAAACTATTCGACGGACACAGAAATTTGGAAAATGCTGCAAATTCTAATCACTCCCATGTCCACTCCTCGCTCCCACCCCTCTGAGAGGAATGACCTTGAGAAGACTTCTGAGTGGTCCTGTTTAACCTTGTTTGACCCACCGTTCACAAATTCGTTTGGCCACAGAATGCTATTTTTCCCGTCATCTAAATCTATTTCACAAAAGACACTTTCAGAAATGCTACTCTGGCCTCACTTTCTCCTAGCTTCAGGTGTACTGAACTTGTTTGTGTCTTGAATTTTTTGTGTTTCCTCTAAAATACCATCCTCCTGTCACTACTTACAGGTGCCTTCCAGTTGCCTTTCAACATTCAACTCCAGTCACCTCCTCTGGTAGGCTTTTCCTGTCCCCCTACTCAATCTAATTTAGATTCCCCTCCTCTGTGCTCCCATAGCAACCTACCTATATGTATCTTTATAATAGCACTTAACAACTGCACCGTAATATTTGATTTGTTTGTTTGCCCTTCCTCAACAGAGAGTTAAGATCTTCAAGAGCAGAAAAGATGTTTTCTTTGACATCATATCCTTAATAACTCTGCGCCTGGTACATGGCAGTCTCTCAATAAATGGTTGTTAGATGCTTTATATATGTGGGTTTCCATTTAAACAGGACTCTACACAGATATAATTCTGCAGAATCTTACATTTTAAAAACCACACCTGATTCATTTACCTAACTGTTCCTGTAGGTGTGTCTGTTTTCAATACACAATAATTTCAATAATTATTGAAAATAATTAGTCACCTCTAATTATTGTTACATATTCCAGTAATAGTTTGAAGTTTCTGTTCCGCATTTAAAACTTCAATTACATATTAATCTGCACCTACGAGTTTATCTTAGAACGTGCATCTGCTGACTCTCCCTCATGGTGATTCATTTTCTTCAGTGTTTATGTTTCATGTGAATTCATCTTCGGTAGGAATTGTTTTATAGAAATCCCTTGTACCCTGGGCTGCAGATGTGTTCCTTCAAGGTGGTTTTGAATTTGCTTGTGCCAGCGCCAAAAGGTTTCATGAATACAGACCCAGTTTCTATGTTAAATTCTTAGCTTGGGAGTTCTAAACTACATAGGTAGTGAAAATTTCTCACAAATGACTTTTCTGTCCCTGTCTAGACTCTTGTTTAGACCTCCTTCCTTGCCACTTCTTTGAGCTATGAGCAAAGTACCCTTTTCATGAACCGGGCAGCCCTTTGAGATTTCTAGCTTGATACAGGTTCTTGGTTATAGATCCCAGCCTAGTAGGTCTGGAGCCATCCTTCCTACACATGCACAGCATTAAAATATGAGCTTCCAAACCCCAAGGTCTACATATAGGTCTGATACCAACCCTATATATGTGGGTTCCCATTTAAACAGGATTCCACATAGATACGGGGCCACTCAAGCCACTCTGGCTTTTGAGTTCTCTTCACTTTTGTCATTTGAGAGTTCCCTTTTATTGTTCTGAATTCAACTAAAAAACAAAACCAAAATCTGTAGCAGGTATTATGTAACTAACTGAAGGTCATGAAATTCCCAGAAGGCAGTAACTATCTAAGTTTGTCTAAATAATAGTTCATGCAACTAGGTATTTAATAATGCAGTTTGATAAAAAATCTAATTTCTCCCTCCTTTCTGGGATCATGATCTTAATGATCAATTTAACTTATTTTACTTTTCTCAGTGTAGAAAGATAGTTTAAAGAGAAATTTTTTAACCTAATGAAAAGATTACTTTTGAATTTAGTTTCTAGATGAAACTAACAGTATCTAAATTACATCTGACCTATTAAATACATAAGCATTACCTATTCAAGATTGATTTATTAATATTTCCTTGGCTGGAGGCCAATTAAAAGAGGAAAATTATTAGCTCTGAAACCTATTAGCTCAGAAAATTGGTTTCCTTCAGTTTTTATGTAAAGAAATAAAAAAAGAAAGGAAAGAAGAAAAGCACTATTTTTCCAACTAACTTAATATCTCTTTTCCCTTCCTTCTCAAAATGTAGGCACATTAGACACATTAGAGCTGTCCTTATAATAAACAAACAAAAAGTTTAACTTGTATCTTATAGACAAGATTTTTTGACTTACTACACCTACATACACACAAATAAAAAATCTCCTTCCTTTGGATATTCAAAATAATATAAAGTCAAACTGAAATCTAAATTTTCATAAGATTTCACCGTTTTTCTAGTTTTAAGAAGGAAAAATTATAGCCTTAGTCTTTAGATCTGAAACTCCCAAATGGAGTGCATTCTATTTTTTGTACTTCTTCAAGTGTAAGAAAATGGCCTATTCTCCCTTGGCCACATCTTCCACAGCTTCTCTTAATCCTGAGAATCAAAAAGTTCTTCTTAGCTTCTACCTTAAGTCTCTCCTATGTCAATTCACAATTGTTCTCTCATAACTTCTCTCTAAAGAAATTACAGAATAGCCAGTCTCTATCCTTCTACCACATCATCACACACTACTCATTTCCTTTTCTGGTATTCTTCTCAAATTAATTAAAACTTGGTATCTGAGCTTTATTTCTTTGAGCCTTTTATCATACTGTTACTTTTCTTTGCTGCCAGAGCAGTCATCATAAACTACTCAGAACAAAAGATTCTTCTCTGTACTTCAGGTTCTTGTCACAAAAATGCAGAAATAATGCCTAACAAATGGCTGTATCATAAGACAAATAGAAAAAGACACGCCCTATAAGCATAATAGAATAAGTGTCTATCTTATATAATCAGAAATAACTGAGATCTCTACCAAAAATCGCCCAGAAGCAAAAGATAGAACCCAAACAGTAACATGAAGATCTATTTTCATGAATTTATTTGAGATTGGGGAAAAGACATTATGCCCACTCCTGTATCTCCTACCTCAAAGCGGAGTCCTACAAGTAAAATCAGTGACCTAACATACCTCCTCTTCTCCCTGGCTTCCAGAGAGGAGTCTGTTCCAGCAGTGGAGAGCACAGTGGCAGTTGAAACCCCATTGGCAGTGCTAGGTGGAGGGCGATTGGTGATCACACAGAGCGGAGTGCTAGAAGAGACATTGTCTGCTGTTTTCTCGGCTATCGACTCAGACTGGGATTTGGGAGGAATCCTGAAATCAAAAAGAGACAGGCAGAAAGAGAACGGTTAGGCATGCTGCACAACAAAGCACTGGTATAGAGATAGAAGGGTTAGAGAGAGGTTTAACTAGAGAATCTTCTTGCTCAGATTTTATTTGTTTGTTTCTTATTTTGAGCTCTTAAATCTTGAAACAGTATGATTACACATTTAGTCTAAAATCTTTTGCCTGAGGAATTACATTTTATGAGATTTTTTTTTTTTTGCCCGAGATTAAAAAACAAACAAAAATCATTAGCTATGGCACAAGGCAAGATAGTGACATATGCAAGAGTGCTTTAAATGACTCCCCAGTAGCATCTGGTCTTCACACACATGCACACAGAGACAGGGCCTCTTTATACATGAAAAAGTCACTTACGATATTAGTCTCCACCTGTCCCTTAATTCTTGGCAGTAGGAGTCTTTGTGGTAGTCCTCAGCCTAGATCTGACGATCATCTTCTTGGATTATCCAGAGACAATTGACAAATACTCTATAATCTCAGTATGTTTAGTTCTCCCTCATGTAGTTCAGCAACTGCTCTCTCTTTCCATTTAACCAAATGCCTAATTGTCTATATTTATAACTGCCCAAGTGACAAATTGAAACAAAAACCGAATAGGATTCTATATGTAACCTTAACTACACACTTTTCAACAACAAGCTGTATAATTAAAGTCATTTACATGAAAATAAGATCTTTGTTTCTTAACAAAGAGTTGGGAGCAACCATTGGCTCTGTACCCAAAAAGCTATCATTTGTGATGTCACAGCTTGTTGCTGGGGTAACAGAGATCCAAAATTGATACTCACGGAGATGCAAAAAGCAATGAAAAGCGTGAATGTTAAAAATCTGTTTTTTCCACCTACTCCTAATTATTATCAGAAATGTTCACAAGTAGCTCTAAGCTTACTTCCAAATAATCACATTATTAGAATAAGCTTGAAAGAAATAATCAGAACACAAAAATATAAATATGGTACCTAGATACAAATATAAAAATAGAATATTTTTAAAGATGGAAGTAGTATCTAAAAAATAAAAGCTACCTCTCCAGAGCAATTAATGACTCAGAAAAAAGGTGAATTTATTTATTAATGAATGAATGAATGGGACAGGATCTTACTCCATCACCCAGGCTGCAGTGTAGTGGCATCATCATAGCACACTGCAACCTTAACCTCTTGGGCTCAAGCGATCTTCCTGCTTCAGCCTCCCGAGTAGTTGAAACTACAGGCACAGGCTACCACACCCAGCTAATTTTTTTTTATTTTTTTGTAGAGACAGGGTCTCACTATGTTGCTAAGGCTGGTCTCAAACTCCTGGCCTCAAGTGATCCTCCCACCTCAGCCTACCAAAGTGCTAGGATTATAGGCGTGTGAGCCACCACACCTGGCCTATGTTTATTTTCTAATAAAAAAAATTGAAGGAAAAGAATTCCTCAGACTTACAAGATATGAGCCTATGTGAAGTACCAATAAAATTAGCCAGAAACACAGTTATAAAAAGTTATACTTATTGGCCGGGCGCGGTGGCTCACGCCTGTAATCCTGGCACTCTGGGAGGCCGAGGCGGGTGGATCCCTGAAGGTCAGGAGTTCGAGACCAGCCTGAGCAAGAGCGAGACACCGTCTCTACTAAAAAATAGAAAGAAATGATCTGGATAACTAAAAATACATATATAAAAAATTAGCCGGGCATGGTGGCACATGCCTGTAGTCCCAGCTACTTGGGAGGCTGAGGCAGAAGGATCGCTTGAGCCCAGGAGTTTGAGGTTGCTGTGAGTGAGGCTGACGCCATGGCACTCTAGCCCAGGCAACAGAGCAAGACTCTGTCTCAAAAAAAAAAAGTTATACTTATCAAAACCTTACCTGAAGTTCTTTTTTAGGTTAATAACATGTTTTGGTCTTTCTATAATTTCTTACGCTATAGAAATGCCAAGGATTTAATTTTACTAAATTATATGACTTTTACTATTATTTGAAATGTGGTATAATTTTCCAAGTAGATTGTTAGGAGCAGAATAGGAAAAACTCTACAACAGGGATCAGAGGCTATACAATGGAGTAGAATAAATATGGGCTTTGGAACCACTTAGGACTAAGTTTAAGACAATTTAACCTCTCTGATCTCTTCTTCATCTAAAATGGGGATATGATACAGGGCTCCTGGAATGATTAAATAAAATAACATATGTAGAACACCTAAACTAGTAACCAGAATAAAATATAAACTCAGTGGAAATAAATAGTGACAACATAGACAAGAGCTTTGAAACAGACAAATCTGAGTTCAAATCCTACCTTAGTTCCTCACTAGCTGTGTGACCCTGGACAGTTGATTAAGCTTTTGTTCTCTTTCCTCATCTATAAAATAATACTTCATATACTGAAGAGCTCATTATGAGACTATAAATAATATGTGCATGTTTGAGACAGCTTGTTTCCTAACCCATATCCATTGTCCCTTTCTTCCTTCCCAACAGAATTCCTATATTAGTGAGGGCAGCAATAACCCTAGTTAAAATCCACATTTCTCAAAGTCTCCCTGGCTGCTAGAGGTATTCAGTGAGATATAATATAAGCAGAAAACTAGTACTTCTGGGAAAATTCTGAGTTCAGAGGTATTCCCTCTGTGTCTGCTTCCACCTTTCCTCCCTCTTCCTGCCTAGAATGCAGCCAGGATGGCTAGAGCTCCAGCAGTTATTTTGGACCATGAGGCAACCCATGGAAACCAAAGCCATGATGTAAGGATTGTGGAACAGAAAGACAGAAAAAATCTGGATCCTTTAACGACTTTGGAGCTACTGTGCCAGCCCTTCCTATTTCTGGAATTCCTAAAGTGCAAGAAAAAAAATAAACCTTTATCTTATTTAAGCCACTGTTATTTGGATTTACTGTCATGTGTGAGTAAACCAAATTCCAATATAATTTTTGTACAGTACCTAACGTAAGCCTGTCGCATAATGGGGTTCAACAAATGGCAGTGTAATTATTTTCCCCTAGTTCCAGCCCTTAATAGTTACTCAAGTAACCTCTGTGTTTCAATTTCTTCGACTATGGTGATAGTATTTACTATATCTATATAACTACTTTATTATGGGGACCTAATAAATTTCTACATAGTTACACAGTATTATTATTAATAACCCTTCATAAACCTGTCCCTCCTAGGCGAATTAATGATCACCACTTATTTTAGGGAAAGAAATCTAGTAAACTGACAAATGTCAATCAAGCACCATCATCATCTGTGTTCTTATAGAAACACTATCATTGTGAACACGTTTTCATTTTCTTTGCGTCAGTTGTAGAAACGACTCAAAATAGGGGACCCTTTGCCATACCCAAAAGTGAAAAGGTCTCTGGCCACACATAAAGGATTAAAAACCACAGTTAAGATCACAGCCACATTCCTGCTGTACTTTCACAATGATACTCTGCCATGCTACCCCTTAGATGAACTTGAAAACCAAGCAGATACTGCCCCCAGAACACATTTTAGACAAACACACATCTCTCCCTTCTCATACTGTTTCCAGCAAAACACCCTCATTGGCTGGAAGTTTTTAGAAGGCTACGGGGAGGCTTTTGGAACGTAAGTTACTTTTCCTTCTGATCTGGTTTTATATGAAGGCTGTCCAGAAAGTATCCAGCCATGTAATAGGAAAAATAGGGACACTGATTGAAGAAGATACAAATGACAAGAAACACTGTACATAGGACAATGACGCCTCAGTCCCCTTCAAAGCAGGTACATTGGGACTTTCACACAGTTGTCCCGGTGTCTTTTAACCTAACCCGTTACACATTCGACATTCTCAGGTGCTCTGCTTATCGCAGCCTTCCAGAATGTGGGTCACTTTCGACAGATTCTCGACCATCTTTGAAGCATCTGTGCCACACTTTTATTTGCGCTGCACTTGTTGCATCATCCCCAAAAGCCTTCTGAATCATCCGAATAGTTTCTGCAGAGGAACGTTCAAGTTTAACGCAAAATCTGATGCAGATTCGTCGCTCTACTCGCTCAGTCATTTTGCATGTGACGTCCACACAGTACACGAGCTCTCTCAATGGCGTCTAGCACCCCACTGACTAGTACAGTGAAGTCGTCATTGTTCACATACGTGCATTCTAGTCCACTCGCCTTGGTTGCCAGGTTACATCGATGTCGAGCAAACCATTCTCGTTATAGTCATAATAGCTAGATACCTTCTGGACAGCCCTCATTTGCTATCTTCCAAAAAGACTAAATACAAAAGATTCCAACTCATAATTGCTATAAAATTAACATAAGCAAAACATGGCAACATTTTTTATATTTAATTTACCACAATAGTATGACCCTCAAATTGTAATCACAACCGGTCAGGCTGTTCAGAGATGAAAGCAGTCATACTTAGTTGACACCTAAACACCAAGTACAATGACACATGCCCTATGATTATTCAATAAGTAACTGTTGACTGGCTAATAAAAATCAAAGCAAAAGCATCCTCATTAAATTACAGACATTTTCACAGCAATTCAAACTTGCTTCTACAGCGATGAAGTCTGGTTCAAATCTCATATGTGTTTTCAGAGGCATTAACTTTGATGAGTGTAACTCAAATGGCTCCAAGAAGCCTTACCTGCCGTGGTGTACAGATGCGGTAGTGTTTGCACTGATTGGTGCAGGGCAAGAAGAGGCAGGTTGCCACTGGCTGCCCTGAGAGGTAGATGAACCAATGGTAATGGGTGAGGTAGCAGGAGATGAATTGCGATTGGCTGAAATGTAGGGACTTGTGGGGTCACTACTTCTACCAAATGAAGCACTGCAAAACAGCACACAGTCACTTTCTTCAGGACATGCTGCTCACTCACCATTTCCCAGCACCACCTTCCCACCCAGAGTGTGCACTTAAAAGGAATGCAGACCAAAGAGAGGGTGTGACAACTGAGAAGTGGAGTGATCGACTCCAGCTAGAGCTGGGCCACTGGCAGCAAGCAGGCAATCATCCAAAAGAGTGAAGGACTCATCACTCTTTGAAGGATGATCTTTTGGTCAATCATCCAAAAGAATGAAGGAATGTGAAGGAACAGAGATGATATTTAACAAGAGAAAGCAGGAAAGTATAGTATATGACAAGAGTAGAGGCTAAGAAAGGGAAATAATAGGCAACAGAATAATTTCATTAGAAAAAAAAAATTCCCAACAAATCCAAGGCAAAAATCATGCAACCCCAAATGTCTACCTGACATAGAAATAGCACTGCAAAAGCTAAAGTAAGACCAGAGAATTTGGAGAGGTTTTGGAGCAGAGATTTAAAATTTAAAAGTAGAGAAGAGTAAAGAAACTATATTAAAAAAATGATTTTGAGAACTGCATTTATTTAGCCCAAAGCAAAACGCCTTTGGGAGGATTTAAAGTTTTAAATCTAGAAAGTAATACTGTATGAGCAATAAAAGGCAACTTTTCTTTGTTTTAATTGAAGACAGGTAAGAACCATCTCAATTGTAGCAAAAAAATTATTTGGATTAAAATTTAAAAAATACTTCTTAACTATGATAGTAATGAGATACTTGAGGGGGGTGATCAAAGCAAAAGCTATGAAGCCTTCTTTGGAAAATAAGTATTTTCCAAAGGCCATGCGATAGAGATTTCTGCCAGAAGACATGAGATGAACTAGAAAATGGAAAGTAAACCAAGGTTTGGCACAGCCAGGGAATGACAAATTTTTCCTCACACTTTCTCTTTTAAACAGCGATGGCATGAGTCATTTCTCTTGAAAACATCAGAAGATAGAATTTTATAAAATCATAAAGTGCTTTAGGGTTATAGAAGAAGAGCTTTAGAAATCCAAGGTATGAAGCAAGTAGTAGATCTTTTCTCAAAAAGTGCTCACATCATTAAGCATGCTTTCCACCCTAAATAGAGGCAGTGCTTCCCTCCTTTGTTCACCGTAACTTTGCCAGACTACATCTATTAAACCAAATGCTGCTCATCCCATTTGCTGAGGATTTGGATCATGAAAATCAACAAATTCACCACAAAACAACTCCCTGCCTGGAAATTAAATGTTGGCTTTCTCTCTTTCCTAGATCTAGAACATTATTTTCTTAGAAAAGTTTTCTTGTTCTTGGATTCAACCACAAGGAATAATGTATCTGGGTAGACCAAGGCCTTAGTCATTAAAACAAACAGGTGATAGCCTCATAAAGCCAAAAACACCTGGCTTATATCATAAAGAGTCAGTGAGATCCCTGAACCCCACTTGCGTACTTTCAAAGTTGAGCCCTTTCTTATAGAATGTATCTGCAGAACTAAAGAACATTAAAAGGCAACAGTGGCTGTTTGTTTTATAGCTTTACTACTTCCCATGTTCCAGCATTAGCTAGTTGACAAGTCCTCCTGTCAAGTGGAAATAAGTTTTGATCCCAAAGAGTTAATCTGCTCATATAGTCTATGGCCAAGGCCTGTTTCTAAGGTAGCCAACGAGTCATCTAAAAAACCTAATGATGAAGGCTATGGTGTGAGGTGGCAGTTGGAGGGGTTAAATGGAAGTGAAGAAAGAATTCAAAGTAAGCAATGAAAAACAGATTCTTCCACATCAGCAGCAAAGTTCAAATTAAAATATTAATTAAGTATATTTTAAAGCATAATGGCTCTGGCAAAGGTGCTTTGTTTGCTGGCTAGTACGTGGCAAAGAAAATAATTGCAGAAAAGGGAATATAGATGAGAAAAGAGGAAGGAAACCCATGTACCTTCTCTGCACCAAACTTGCGAGTTTCACATCTTGATGGATCTGAGGGCCATTAAAGTCATAAAAAAAAAAAACAACTCAAGTCCCTAAATTAACAAGCTTCAATATGAAACTTCTTTAATGCAATAGAAAACTCCCCACTTCCCTCCCCTCACCACCCTAAAATGTCCCCCGCCTTCCTCCCCCCAAAATATAACTTGAGATGAGAACTACTCTAGTTTTAGAAAAAGGAGAACCAGCTACTGGACAAGGATGATTTAAATTCAGTCTTGCCCAGAGATTACTAGAAGTCACTTCTCACTGAAGATTTTAATAGGACTGAGAGAATGGAGTATAAAGCCAGATCTGTAGTGAGAATTTGGAATTAGCTTACTTTAATTCAGTTATTAAGAAAATTAATTAATTTTAAATTAGTCAAGATGTTAGTTCCAAGAAATCCAAAAGCAATTTATCTTTTGATTCATTTTTGTGGTGCTAATTGGATATTAAAAAGCATGCAATTATTTCCCATATTCCCATGGCCAGAGTGATGAAAATCATCTCCCACCCCTTTCAGCCTGGTACCTTTTCAAGTAGGTTGATACATAGGTGGAAGGAGCAATTGTCTGTGGGGTTTCATTTCCCTTTCCTTCATCCCTCCATAGCTGCCGGGTATAGGAGCCACTCCTCACTAGATTAACAGCTGATTCTCTGCAGAGGCATGAAAGGAAAGCAAAACAGATTCTTACCTCTAGTTTTTGTCCGTGATACAATGCAAACAGGGAGAGAAGAGCCAGATAGACAAATCGTAACATAGTTAAAGAAATGAACACATTTTTCAGGTGATTCTCTGTTTTATATACCTGTTTTCTGTATAGATGGTGAGTATCACCATCTGCTTTCTTTTATCAGCTCCAAAGCCAACTAAACAGGTACCAAATTCTTCATGTCAAAGATCTCTAACCTCTTTGTAATGAGAAATCACTTTTGTTCCTCATTTAAACAATGCCTTGCAATCAGTCCCCAGTAGTAGGTGGCTTATAAGTTAAGCAGAGAAGTGAGCGGTGAGGAAAATGGAAAAGTCTGTTACCCAGAGACTACCAGGGAAAGAGGTCACTACCAAAGAAGAAAGGGGAGAAAGACTTGCTAGAAGCCTCTTTAGCATTATAAATGAAAAAACATCCAGGAAGGGGCTGTAGTAGGATTTTTGATCCACAATTGATAACTCAGGGTCTTTGCTACAAAAGCTATGGGTCTTCATGCTTCACAAGGTTCTCTAGAGCAGTCCTTCTCAATCTCTAACATGTATTTGAATAACCTAGGGAATTTTCCTAAAATGCAAGTTCTACTTCAGCAGATCTGGAGTGGGGCCTGAAATTCTACAGCTCTAACATGTTCTCAGGTGATGACAGTACTGCTGGTTGGAGGACCACACTTTGAGAAGAAAGGTTCTAGATTAGATTCTTCCCTGAGATGCAGCCAATACTTCAAAATCTCTATATTCATTAGGAAGACTTTAATTTTACCTACTTACAAATTAGAAGTTGCACAATTCAATTAAATAACATTATTTTTAGTTTACTATGTGGTAGGCACTGTGCTAGGTACTAGGAGTCCAGACAGACACAGACTCTATCGTTACAGAGCCTGCTGGGGGCCTAAACCAATCCACAATCAGAAGGGTCAGGGAAGACTTTCTAAAGACAGTAAGGTCTAAGCTGGAGTTTGAATTTGAAGGGTGAAGAACTGGCAAAAGCAAGAGTGTAAGGGCTGAGACGTGTCCTAAGCAGAAGGAACAAACAATTTACAATGTGCAAAGGGCATCTGTGAAAAAAATGCAGAGAAGTGATGGCCAGGAGACGACTGCACCCCACACAGCTACAGATGACTACCTTTTGGCCTGTGTTAAGATTACCTGTTCTCCTTTTCTTCACTGTCACTTGTGCTGCTGAGTCTCCGAGGTGCTAGTGAACTAAAATAGCTTTTGTTTTCTCTCTCCTGTAAAACAAAAACAAGCAAAGCACAGGAAAGGTACAATATTGACGTAGTGTAAAACATTTTGGGTAAAAAAAAAAAACCTTAATATAACCTATATCATTTCTGGATTCAACATCAATTTCATTTTGAGTGGTATTATAAAAGGTCAGCTTTCAAAAGCTTACTCCTAACTTTCCTCCATTAAAAAACGGTATGTAGGGAAATAATTCTCATGAGAAAAGTCAGGATGATCAAATACAGAAAACAGCAGCACAGATCCCATAAAGCAGCAGCTCTGTCAAGATAGAGGGGGAGCCTTTGAAAAGCCACAAACAGAAAGCTCCACTCTAATGTTCTTCATGAAATAAGCCTTATATAGTCACCAGCACATCTTTTCCTTGAAATGCAGCTTTCTTAGGGACATGCACAATAAATATCCAACCAATATCCTCAGCTCTCTGAGTAGTCTCCAGAAATGCAATACAAAGCAAGAGCACTATGATTACAAGGAACACCTGACCCCAGAGAAAAGCACTAAGTGAACCCTATAAAATCTGGAACCCAAAGTGAATAAAAATTTATTCATCTTAGATGAATATATAGATGAACTGTTTGTAAAGTTAGCCTGATCATACTTCCAAATTAATTAAAAATGACAAGTTAAAAAAATTTTTTCTAAGTGCTAATTTGCCTGAGTTCCATCAGGATTCAAAGCCCAGCTAAGGAACTTTGCTCCTAAACATCAAAAAAGAAGTTTCTGGTATTGGTTCAAAGAATCTTTTAGGCCATATACAAATTTTCATGGTTCTGATCCATTTTACGCTGTAGGTAAATGGGTAAGGAAGAATGAATGTAAAGGTAAGTTGAAAGGAAAAGCTATTCTCAAAGCTTTTCTTTTATGGCCAAGTAAATGATAGCGAGCGAATAGCTACTTGATTAAACTATCAATGTGCTTGTTTCCCTTTAAAGGCTTTGTACTTCCAGAATCAACTTAGGAACTAGAAAATATTTTCATTTGTTCCCAAGGTTGAATTTTCATGGAAGAAAACTGCCTTGGAATTCCTCCACATCCTGCCCAAACTGCACCTTATCTTTGTTGTCCAGCAGAGCAGAAATCCGAGGGCTTGACGAGGAGCGGTAGATGGAAGAGCCTCGGTCCCTTAGAGCTTCCCTGGAATTGGCCACCTCACTCAGCATGTTGTGGCTGCCAGTTTTTCTGAGTCCCAATCTCCATGAAGAAGGAGATTCATCTTTGGGCTCTTCTGACTTGTTAAAAAGGCTGGAGGAGAACTATGAAGGAAGCAAAGTAAAGAAAAGGAAATGTCCTGATGATTCTTTCTCAGCTTATTTGCCTTTTCCACACTTAACTAAGTTCAGTGAGGTGACATAAGCCAGTATAAGAAGAATAAATAAATGGCAGGCTTTCTGCCAATGTTCCCTTCCTCACCTGGCAAATGCTAATAACCTCTCAAGGCTCTCTTTCTCCCTAAGCCAGAAATAGCCTCAGATTCTTAACACAATGCTCCTACCTGACAGTTGCTCTGAGAAATTAAACACCATTTGTTCTCCCTGTGCAATTAGTACTGACCTAGAACATGAGGAGACTGTGTTCTAGTAATACATCTTCTGCTGACTTACTGTGTAACTGAAAATAAGATACTTCACTTCTTTAGGTTTCAACATGCTCATCTGTAAAGTGGTGATAATGAGCTTAATTCCTCCTTGTAATATGTGGAAGTGGAAAAAACAAGACGAGCTAATACATAAACGTGCTTTAAGGTACTGTGATAAGCTGATTTAAGTTAATATCAATAAAAATAATAGAAGATACTCCACTCAAATTCTAATTGCTACTTTCAAGAAAACTTATTTGATCAGGGCAGCAGTTCCAAGAGTTTTCGATTTCACTGACCAGCAAAATTTAAAAAAAAAAAAAAATTAGAGGTCAAAGGGTTACCATCTTATTTATTTTGCCAAAAGAGACCAAAAGATGGTCTCTTTTTGAACAACCCATTATCACCATCATTTCATTAAAAAAAGAAACTTTAGGGGCCAGACACAGAGGCTTATGTCTATAATCCCAGCACTTTGGGAGGCCGAGGCAGGAGGATCACTTGAGGCCAGGAGTTCAAAACCAGCCTGGGCAATACAGTAAGATCCCCTCTCTACAGAAAATTTTAAAAATAGCCAGGTGTGATGGCACACACCTATAGTCCTAGCTACTCAGGAGGTTGAGGCAGGAAGACTGCTGAGCCCAGGAGTTTGAGACTGCAGTGAGCTACGGTCACACCACTGCACTCCAGCCTGGGCGACAGAGTGAGACCCTGTTTCTCAGAAAAGAAAGCTTTATGGAAAGCTTACATTGTCTGTAATTATCTCATTTGCCATAAACCAGGTAAACGTCACAGATTAGCATTAGCCCATAGACTAGTTTGGGGTACAAGCGGTCTTTGGAACACAAGCCAACAGCCCCTTTCTGAGGTCCGGGGATCTCTGCAAGAAGGCTTGGATCTTTTTCCTAATACCAGGCCACCTTTATCACTGCCTGATATAGTGAAAATCCATGAAAACATTAAATCATTCATGTCCAACTCACACTCAGATTTTCTCTTTTCATCAGTCATCTGAATATACACATTTATGTCTTCCTTCTAGCTTTGGAGGCTCAATCATGTCTGCTTTTTATAAGCCACCATGATTCTAAGGAGAATAAATGCCTTTCCTAGCATTATTGTAGCAAAGTGGAATAAGTAAATATGTGTGCTTGTATTTTTTTTTAATTTAGTATTTTTTCTTTTAAAAAAGTAGGAAGTCTAAGCAGTGGCAGCATATGAGGTACAAATAAATGGCTGGATAATGAGTGACGACTGCATTCTATTTAAACTTCTTTAATGATTCACAATGATGCTCTAGGAATAATAAGTGGCGAGGCCTATGTCTCCTCATTTCCACAAGGATACCCTAAGACCATCTTTCCAATTCATGAGGTGCTAAGAAAATCAGTAAGTTAGTATCTGTAAAACCACAGGGTTTTTTCAACAGCTTCATTCCAAAGAACTCAGATCAATTATTAACCTAAAAACTAATTTTATACTTTGTGGAGCAGGGTCATCATTCAACTCTGTCTCACTGACTAGAAGCCCGCAGATTCGCAGAGGCCTGCGCAAAGTCACAAAGGGAGGTGCCTCCGGTATTTCAACAAGATCTCTCATCTCTACTCTCCGCCTTTCGTAAAGGCTTTACTCATGAATGATTTTAAAGGAGAAATAGGAAAAGGAGAATAACATCGAAACAATTAATGCTGGATGCTAGATATCTTCCTAGCCCAGTCCAAACTTTACCTATAGCTATCTTCAGATAAAAAGAAAATAGGCAAATGACAAAATTTCTTTGGTCCCAGTCTACTCTACCCTGTTATCTTAACGCATCCCAGCCAAATTTGTTTGGTGACAGCTTTATACGTTTTTGGGGGGCAATGTTATGGACTGAATGTTTGTGTCCTCCCCAAATTCATGTACTGAAACCCTAATCCCCACTGTGACTGTATTTGGAGATAGGGCCTGCAAGGAAGTGATAACGGTTAAATGAAGGCAAAAGAGGGGAGACCAAATACAGTGGGGCTGGCTCCCTTATAAGAAGAGTAAGAGACACCAGAGCTGGCGCGCACTTTCTCTCTCTCTCTCTCTCTCCCCCATGTTAGGACATAGCGAGAAGGTAGCTGTCTTCAAGCCAGGAAGAGAGCCCTCACCAGGAGCTGAATTGGCCCGTACCTTGATCTGGGACTTCCCAGCCTCCAGAACTATGAGAAATAAATTTCTGCTGTTTAAGCCACAGTCTGTGGTATTTTGTTATAGGAGCAGACTATGACACACAAGAATGTATCATTCTTGTTTTGCAAGAATGTATCTTTAAGGCCTTTCTAAGTGTGTGTTATTGCAGTAGGGTGAAATGCAATACCCGAATTAATTGCAAAATACTCACTCTCCTAGCGGAAGAGGCAGAGAAGGTATTCTGAGCTGGTGGTGGTATCTGCTCCGTGATGCTACTCTTATTTTCAGAGTTGGAATGGTTGACAATGGCTTCTGGCTTTTTATCTGTTATTTAAGACAAGAGAAGCAACAAGTGCAAGTAAGAAAATCTCATCTTTGTGTGTATGTTTTTTTCTGCTATAGACTAGGTTTGTCTGTTATCAAAACAGATTATTAGGGCCAATTGAATACTTGGACTTAAACTAAGATGAACTCTCTGGCAACTATTGGTAGAAGAAAATAAACTCAATGGTACTCCCATCTCGGTAGCCTCCGACTCCAATTTTTATACAAAAACGGAAAACTGAAAACTATCTCCACACAATTAGTTATATCATGCATAAAATCCATCTACAGGCAGACTTAGTCCAGGGCTTGGTAGGCAGGTTTATTTTTGTCTTGTTTTAGACTGGACGCCTCTGCTGCAAACATGCTTTGCCAGATCCTCGGCCAGCCCGAGAAACATCTGAGCTTGATCCCCCTCTTCGTATTTATTGGAGCTGGATGTACTGCAGCAGCACTGTATGTCTTGTGCCTGGCACTGCTCAATCCAGATGTTAGTTTGGAAAAAAAAATAACCCAGAACCCTGGAACAAACTGGGTCCCACTAGCAAACTGAAGAAAGAAGGTCCAGACTTCTAAACCAAATGTTTCACTATAAAGCTGCTTAGAATGAAGGTCTTCCAGAAACCATCTGCACAAAACCAGGAAATATTCTTTAAATGCATAAAATCATGTTGCTGTATTGTGTTGAGGATTACACTGATTAATAAATATCTGAAACTTGAAAAAAACATCCATCTACAATCTCTCCCTTTTTTTTTTTTTTTTTTTTGAGACAGAGTCTCACTGTGTTGCCCGGGCTAGAGTGCCGTGGCGTCAGCCTAACTCACAGCAACCTCAAACTCCTGGGCTCAAGTGATCCTCCTGACTCAGCCTTTCGAGTAGCTGGGACTACAGGCATGCGCCACCATGCCCGGCTAATTTTTTCTATATATTTTTAGTTGTCCAATTAATTTCTTTCTATTTTTAGTAGAGACGAGGTCTCGCTCTTGCTCAGGCTGGTTTCGAACTCCTGAGCTCAAACAATCCGCCCGCCTCGGCCTCCCAGAGAGCTAGGATTACAGGCGTGAGCCAACGCGCCCGGCCCTACAATCTCTCCCTTGGGGATCTCATCCTTTTCCACAGTTTTATCTTTCATTTCTTATGCAGATAATTTTCACTGGGTTCCTACTACTCTGAGGAGTCCCAGATTAAAGTCAGGCCCTCAGGCACGTCACTTGTCAGCTATGAAACCTAATTCACCTAACCTCCTACGGTGGCAATTTCCCATTCTAAAAAGTGGTGATTAATAATATATACCTCAGAGTGTGGTTGTAAGGATTAAATAAAAATGTCTAAGTGTGTTGCAAAGTAAAAAGCACCACAAATGTAAAGTTTTATTATAACTCCCTACTTAGTTATAATCTTTCTTACTAGTGAATACCATTGACTGCACTTATATCTCTCGTGTGACATGTATTTTATGCATGTACATATGTCTTTCTATTCCTTTACTAGGTATATTCAATGAAAAACATTTAATGAATGCGAATGCCTGTCGTACCAGGCACTGCGCCGAGACCTGGGAGTACGACGATAACCAGGATGACGAGTGCTACAGCAGTGGCAGGTGTGCAGTGCTAGAGGGACATCATAGGGAGAAATCATCATGGGGTGGAAGAACAGTGAAGTGGCCCTTCCTTTTCAGCTTCCTATACAACCAAAACCTAAAGAAAGATTTTTTTCAACCTGCTAGATCCTATAGCTTCTAACAGAAATCACTCGATAAGCATTTGATGGTCTGAAATAGATTCTAAGGCATGAATAAATGTTCTGGAGCAGGAAAGGTCAGGGCATGTTTGAGGAAACCAAACAGTTCAATGTGGCTAGAATATGTTCTTACCTATACATAGCATTGCAATCGTCAGCTGGAGCTAGATTACGAAAGGTGTTGAAGGCCATGTATGGCATTTGGGATTTACTCTGCAGGCAAAGATGGAGTGAGGGGGGTGAACACAGGTTTTTTAACAGAGATGTAGCATGATCAGAAGAGTGCTGCAGGTGTTTTACTACAACAGCAATGTGAAGATGGGATGCAGGAAACAAGAGGCCTGAGGCGGAGGTACAAATCACAGCTGACAGTCCAGGCAGCTCCCTCCCATTTTTCTAATATCTTATTAGCTAACAAAAGTGATCTAGCATAGAGCAAGCCCTGATATTAACTCTAGATAATACTTGAAGCCTAGAACATGTAAGTACTCAATAAATAATACAAATATCAAAAAGATGCACATTTATAAATTTTGATAGGTACTACAATAGCATTCCCAAAGCAAACTGTGCCTGATTAATAATAGAAATTCAAGTCTTAATGAACAAAAGGTCATCTGCTATTCTGCAAACTTAGCTGGTGCTGTCTTCTCTATAGAACTGACAGTCTCTACTTTCCTTTGGTGATATTCAATGAGCCTCAGAGATTGAAACATGAAGAAGGACAGTATTCTCCCATAATCGAGAGAAATCATGTCAGCAAAGCCAGACCTCATCAGCAGCTGGGGCACAGACAACAGAGTGAGTTAAATATCTTCATTATGGGCAGGCCAGCTATGGCAGAGTTCAGAGGAAAACACAGACTCCATTATAAACTTAATGTGTGACCCTTTCCTCTCTAACTTGGTCTTCTAGTGGAAATATTCATCTTACTATGGACTCAACTTTGGAGGGATTCACGCTAGTGAATGTGAGGCATACGTACCATAAAATCTTAGTTTATCACTAATTTCCAATTATCTGCGAGAACTGTTCTGTTGCAATTGAACCTCTATGCAGTAAAAACCAGTATCTCTTTTCTCAGTGTTTGCCCGACTATAAATGAAAACCTATGGGTTATTTTATAGCTTGTTGGTCTGACCATGTTCAACACCTCACTCTCACTAGTGCTGTTCCTGTTTTGTCAAACTATAAACTTAAGTACCTCCATATGATGTTTATGTCATCAATAATAGTCATAAAAGTAAATATGGTTTTGTTCCTTCCTCAATCCCCTACTCAGAAACTGAAGAAGCTTCACATAATAAGGGAAAAAAAAATTTTAGGATTCTGTTTGGGGAAACAGACAAATCTGAGAACTAAATGCAAATTTTCACTAGTTGGTTTAAAGCATTTGACTGTAAGAGCCTCTGCGAGATTTCACCTTCCCTGCCTCTCAGCACACTGACGTTTTGGAATCTGGTCTCTAGGCCATCTACCAACCTGAGGTCAAGACAACTGGCTCCTTCACGTAAGAATGCTTAGTGCGCCTTATCATATGGCTACATAGAAATTGTAGATATATTCTAACATAGCTCGCAGCTTTTACAAGCAAGTCATCACTAGTAATTTGATATCTCATCCTTGAAAACTAAACTTCAATCTCTTTTTGGAGCCCTCTGAGGCCTGGCTAGCTCTCTGACCAGCAGTAATCTCCTCACATTATAGAAATGGAGTGTCTTTGGTATGAATATCTTTGCATTACCTGCCTCCTTCTCAGTTTCTGACTCAGAAGCTTCATCTTCACCTTCTTCTTCCTCTGAGCTGGAGCTGCTGGATTCCTTGTTTTCTTCCTCCATTTCTTGGGACTTCGGTGTCTCCTCCTCATAAAGCATCTTCTCTTTGCTAAATTAAAGATGCCAATTTGCGCATAATTCAGAAGTGACAAACCATTTAAGTTCACTGACAATCAGGTATAATAAAGGGAACAGGTCTGTAAACCTATATGCAGAAGCAATAACAGAAACATATTCAAATTGAGAGAAACCATGTCAGCAAAGCCAGACCTCATCGGGAGCTGGGGCCCGGACAACAGAGTGAGTTAAATATCTTCATTATGGGCAGGCCAGCTATGGCAGAGTTCAGAGGAAAACACTGACTCCATTACTTATGCATCTATGTGTTCTGAACCCTTGGTTTTTGCAGATTAAGGTTTAATATTTGACGTTAGAGAATGGCTTGAGGAGATCTGGCCTGTTTAACATACAGAAAAAAGGACAGCTATAAATTTTGATGACGATGGGGCAGATAAATATTCAAAAAAATCATTTAACGAATGTTCATTGAGTACTTATTACATGCCAGGAATCACACTAGGTACTGGTAAACGAAGCAGACATGGTCCCTGAACTTACAGTATGGTAAAGGGAGAAGTTGGGACTAAGAAGCTCTAAGCTAGGATTTCAAAAAATGTTGCACACAGTCTCAATTAATTTCTAAGTTTATAACATGTTCACGCATCTTCAGTGTCTCCCCCACGTATCAATGCCACCTCCTTGCCCAGCAAACTTTCCCACATGTTTACAGGTCATTTGACTAAAGTCAAATACAGAGTTTCTCCACCGTATAAATTCTAAAGTAAGTATGTCATGCATACACAGCAAAGCTCATCCCATTCCGTAAGCCTCAATGTCTTACTTCTTAAAGAGTCCACCATGCAATTTGCTGTTCAGGTCTGACTCAATGAGTTTATTCCGTGTCTCCTTTTCACTTCGCAGCTGCAAATTGAGAAAATAGGGAAAAAAGGGAAGAAGTTTACTGTTGATGAAAAATCAGCAGAGGTACCAAAATCATACTGTCATTTTGAAGAAAGGACCAATACCAAAGAGGTGGGGGGGGGACCGGGGAAAAGGGGAACCCCTTCGTTTGGTTTTCTTTGGAGGCCATTGCCGGGGGAAACCCTTCTTCCAGGGCGGAGGGGAAAAAACCATAGTGTTAGACCTTCAATAAAACTGCCCCTATCAAATATCCAAACCCAATCTTCAAAAAAAGGCCTAGCTTCTGAAGGATAGAAAGCCAGAAGGAATTTGAAAGAATTCTTCTTGATCCACATTCTGAAATCGGTTGGCAACAGTTCTAAAGAGAACATAGGTACCAAGTGGGAAATAAGCTCTTAAAGAAAATGGTCTGGGATTAGGATGCATGCTCTAGACAAAATGTATTTATATCCCTGGAACCCAAAGTTATGCAAGGGGCAAAGATAAGTACCATTCCTATTAGTGTAGAAAGTTATTTAGTGAATACTACTATTTATGTTCAAAAACCTAACTATGCTAGGTAAAAGATACATAGGAACTCTCTATACTAATTCAGCAACTTCTATGTGAGTTTAGAATAAAAAGTTTTAAAAACAACAATAACTACGTAGAGTATACATCTTATATTAGGCAGGCTGTTGCTGCTAAATAACAGCACTGACACTGTATTTGGAAAATCCTAGCTTTTAGTGATCCTGATTGCTCAATAAAGAAAACAAAATGGACTAGAAGTTGTGTTTGTCTGAGCTTTATGTAAGTGACTTTCCCACTGAGCCTTAAAATAACTAGAACCTTCGCTTTACCGGTCCAGGCACGATGCCGAACACACCTGAGGTTGGTTATGGTTGATTTGTCCTATCACTGAGCTATTTAGTTCTTTGATTCAGAACTGCTGTTTCCCACACTTGTACTAAATGGGAGTTCACATGACCTGATACACAGCACTACAAAGGAAAAAAACAAACAACAGCAACGATTTTTTTCTATTCCACCCTAATGTCACTGATCTTTATTGTCCTCACTCAAATTACTCATCCACTTTATGGTAGAAAATGTGACTTATTCACTCTTCGTCTGTTTATTGGGTGGGTTTTCCATTCTGCAGACCCTCCGTGAGTACCATGCTTATGTAGCTATTCTGTATAGCACTAAGCCAAAAGGCATGTGCAACATAACAATAAAAGATTTAAAATAAGGAGAGAAAGGAGGACTGAATTATGGATGTTTCACGGATCTGGAATAAGTATAAATCACTGACCAAGTACTGTCCAATATCAAATCACAGTTTTAGGTTTGTGTGTGTGTGTTTGTTTTTTAAGAAAGAAATACATTCCTTTCTATAATCAATGTATACTACTTTAAATAAGGATAGCCTTTTAGTCAATAAGGAAAAAAAAACTATGAGTTGTCCTCTACTTTGGTATGTCCTACTGGAAAAAACTCTGATATGAACATATCATGTGCATTTTCTAGAACTCAAGGGTAATTGTTAGTCTTTGTTGTTTTTAAGTTTCAGCTGCTTGAAGGCTATCTTATAATGAGTAAACTTTAACAACAATGGTTTCTGGGATATTTTCTTCTAACAGACTGCTTATAGTTCCTGAAGGGAACAATTAACATGTCTGGAATGCAGATATATCCATTTCAGCTCTCAGCCGACACAATTAAACAAGTCACTGAGATGTCTGTAGTGCTTGCAAACTGAGCTTTAAAAGTATCAACCAGAGGCTCACCACATTCTGCTTCTTCTGAAGCATCTCCAAGTGCTCCACAAGACCCTCATCAGCCACATCAAATGGTGTCTGGCCCTGGCAGAGAAAAGGAGCACCATGACTGACAGAAAACAGAAGTAGCAACCATGGGACTTTATCAGGGAACTACTCAACATTCACTTTTTGCCTTTGATTCCAATAATAGCTGCTTCCCTAACTAATCTACCCTTCATAAGATAACGCCTTCATCTATCACAGAGGAAACGTAACAACAAACAGCAAATCCTTTAAATATAAAGTTTTATATTTTGTAAAACAGTATTGAGAAAAATCACACCATTTCTAATCTTTATTGCCTTCTTGCAAAATAATCAAGTGAAATCCCTACCAGTACCTGTTCTAAAATGGTCTTAATTGCTACGATAAATTCAATAAGGGGCTCATAAAAACCTCAGAGGGAGGTCTAGAGCACATGTGCACTAAAGATTAAGTCACAGGAATCATTTCCCTTTAAGTGAGAGGAGGCCTGACAAGGAGGTTAATCTCTTTTAGGAAACATCAGCACAATTAAGGACCCAGACCCATAGTCTGAGAATGAAATCTGGGTTCAGGAGAGATGTGAGGCAGATAAAAACATCTACTAATTAAAAGGCCATGTCTCTGGATTCCTAAAAAATCAGCAGACATAGGGATAGGAGTTCCAGAGTTTCTAAGTTGTTTGAAGTGAGGCTGAATAAACACTATTTTCAGCCAAACTCAAGGATACTAAAATCTTTCACATGTTACCATAGACAATGACCTTAGGCTCCCTCAAAGTTCATTTTTTGCCAAGAGCAAATATATTTTTTTCTTGTTTGTTTTAGGGTCTTCAATATTAGTAGAAGACTAGGTCAGGGAGTTTTATTTCGCATGGACATGGCAAATGTAGCTCGGTGTTGATAACAGAGGCAGGAGCAGGGAGGTGGAGGGCAGCATCATAGCGACCAGTGATATCTATTTCTCCAGAGCACTCAGCCTGGCCATTAAACAGAGACGTTAAATCTTCTATTTTAGAGACCCAGCTACCAATCTCATTGCCTTCTTAGAGGGTGGGGCTCACTAACCAGTTTGTTTCGGATGTCCATGTCACAGAGTGCTTCTGCCAGGATCGAACAAGCCTCTTTCACTCCCCAGTGCGCAGCAGCATGGAGGGGAGTCCAGCCATCGTGATCCTGAACATTGAGTTCATAGCCAGTCTGAATTAAAAGTCTAAGGAAAAAATCCCAAACAAGACATTTATCTCCTCTATATTACAGTTTTTTGCCAAATAAACTATTACCTAATTGATATTTCAGGTTTGGGCCCTAAAACACAGGAAACACGTGATTACTTCTGCCCTCTACAGCACAGTTTGGGTTTCCTAGTTACTACTTTGAGCACCAATCATAGATGATATTTACCAGCCCTCTCCAAAAAGCCATATGGTATTTCTAAGTCGCATCCATGTTATATCATACAAACATGTATGGAAATGTATGTTCCTGAGATTAACCAAAGCCTAATTCAATTAGCCAAATCACACAACTCTACTAAAGGCACGTTTTCCATTTTCCAGTACAGGGAGGAAGTAACACACAGAATGAGGACTCAGTTCTCTTCAGGGTACTTTACCAACTAGCTTTTGGGTTGGTCTTTCCAGGAAACCATATGTTTAGTGTTGACTCTCATACCTCCAATTTCTTGCTAACTACAAAGCTATAATCTAACTTGTGTGCACAGAAAAGAAAAGAAATGACTCCTGAAGCCCCAAACTGCATTGGGGCCCTATATTATGGGTCTCCAGACATCTTGCAAGGATTAAGCAGAGTATGGATGTTGCTCTCAGGCAGAAATAGAGTACCAAAACACTGCCAAACCTCCTAGAAACCGCATATTAGGTGGAATAGGAAGCATTGGAAGAGTCTGGCAACAGCTGTACACTTAACGGCTTTAGAAACCCACGTATTTGGGAAAGCCTGTCAACGTTCAGCACCAAGAGCTACATACAGCATGTATGGATGTAAGAAAAAGTGGAACAGGTAGAATAGTAGAGTTCACATCTCTCATAAATTTGACTATCGTATGCCAGCTGAACACTGCACACTCAAGATCTATATAATTAATCTAATAATCCCAAAGAAATGATCTAAGTTAAAAAGGACCAAATGATCACAAATCTGTCCTTTACTAAAGGTCACAAGAGGAGGTGGTTGCAGAGATTTTAATGACAAATCGTAGAACTGGAGGAGGTCTTGAAAGGTCCCCTCCTAGGCCAGTATATCTCTGTTTCACATCATACATGTCGGTGAGAAAGGAGAGGGATGGTAGGAGGAAGGGACACCATCCATGGATGAATACCAGCAAAATGTGAGAAAAGACGGCACAATCAGAGAGGAAACCAACAGAAAAAGGAACATACCATTAGTTGAAAATCTAATTTACTCTCTGCTTCCAAAACCCATCTCATCTTCTCCTAGTCAACCAAACACCTGACTGATATGTATGGACAATACCTGAGGACTTCGGAGTAGCCCTTGGCAGCAGCCACATGAAGCGCCGTGGCCCCTGAGCGAGCCTGCCTCACGTCCTCTATTTTCCCACTGTTGAGCCACTGGCGGGCATCCTGCAACATCTGCTGCTCTTCTTCTTTTCTTGACTGCTCCAGATCAACTCCTGCAGAAACCAGACATGACACAGCCAGCATTACTGAAGCTTCAATTAAATCTGACAGGATATTTTCCTTAGATTCAAAACACATCATAAACATAACTACAAATAACCGTTTAGTCATCATGTTGGATATTCATCAAAGTTAGAAGAGCAATGGCATTCGTACACACGTTAGTGGTCTTACTAGGGTTAAATCACCAGGTTAAATACTATGCGACATACATTCATTAAGGGAACACACCTAACATTGTTTCCAATAGAACATAAAGACCAAAAGGACATTATTTTTACATTATGATATTTTTACAAAGCTACAAACTTCTGAATCTTTTTACTTATTATACGGTTTTAGTTTCCCAACAATCCTGTAAATTTAATAGATATTACTATCTTCAATTAACAGATGAGGAAATAGACATAGAAAGGTTAGGTATCTTGCTCAAGGCCACAAAACACATTAGTGGCAGAGCTGTCACTAGAACTCTGATATCCTGGGTCCCTGTTCTTTCTACTCACTATACCATACGATTGGTATCAAAAATCTTGGTTTTTAAAGTATGATATACTTTAAAAAACAAACTACCTTCAAAGTTCATTTCCATATGCAGGTAAATACACTTACCTGAAGCTATATAATCTAGAGCAGATG